AATACATATCATAAAACAAACCGAAACGATAAAATAGTTGATTTCTCTTCTTGACCTTCAAACAAACTCTTCAAAAGTGTTATTCAATTCTGAAATTCATCTAGTTGTCGTAACAATCTTGTTCCCCAAGTTGGTACATGTTGGCACACTCAATAGGGTTGGAAAAATCGAATATATATATATATATATATATATATATATATATATATATATATATATATATATATATATATATATATATATAGAGAGAGAGAGAGAGAGAGAGAAATTTGCGCAATCACATAGTGGTGGTGTTCATACCGCGCCATGGTATCGAGAATCCGTATTACACATGAACACGTAAACTTGTGGAGGAAGGGAAACCAGATCTTCATTTGATGAGAGGTGCAACGTGCTTTTCAACATCCTTCAGTTCTTCTTCTGTATCAGCTCCGTTCTCTTCCTTTTTGCATCCCAGCTTCGAATTTAACTATAATTATCAATTTCAAAGCATATTAAATATCATTTATCTTTAAATATAACATTTTAGATTAATTCATTAAGATAATAGCGTAAAATATATAATTAAATAATGTCATATCAGTATGTATGTTGTCTTATTTTCATTTTTAAGTGTGTAACATTATTAACAACCATTTACCAAAATAGTGGTATAAAGAGAAACATAGAGCAAACTCCATTCACGTTTTAAAGACCAACCATCAAGTCATTGTAAATTTCTTGGAGATTGAACGACCATAGCTTCACAACATTTAGGTCAACATCTTCAATAATTGTGTTGATTTATTAGTTCCATATGTTCAAGTATGATTGCTTCTGTATATTGTGGGACAATAGCTTTTGTTTGGCAATATTCATCATTACTCTTTGTTTTGATTCCATGTACTTGACATATCTTGTTCAAAGTATAAGATAATTATTGTATACCTTTAGTATATCTAGAGAAAACTTAATATTAATTTATAATTGGTGGTAGTGGATTTGAAGTGGACCACGTGGTCATGTGGTTTTGACTCTCGTTTTGAAGGTTCCCATGTTAAAATTTCAGTATCTCATATTAGTTAGTTACCTACTACTTTGGGCCGGTTATATTGATGTATAAATATCACACTGTGGCTAGTTTGGTTGTATTTAAAAGGGAAAATTGCAATAAAGTCACAAAGTCAACCGAAAATTTCGATTTTGACACCGTATTTTTTTCTCAATTAAGTCACTATAAATATAGTTTGGTTGTAATATCAACCAAATGACTGGCTCTCCCTGTTCTCCCGGTAACCAATTTTTCCAAATTTAATAAAGTTACAAAGTTTACCAACATTTCAATTTTGACACAGTGTTTTGTTTTTCTTAATTATATCATTACATTTACATTTTTGTTGCAATGTCAACCGATTAACCGGTTACCATTAATCTCACATGTTACCAAATAAATGAAATGACAACATTGTGATGTAGAAGCCACATCAGATCTTATGTGGCAGGATTAAGTTTCAAATATGCTTCAAACGTAATTTTACATATCGTCTTCTCTTCTTTTCTTCTTCTTGTTAGAGTATTTCTTCACAAATGGCATCTGAAGGTCGATCCAGTGGTTCAAACTCACTTAAAAGTCAACGAAAAGGGGGTACTTACCCTTTTAAGAGATGTTATTGTGGTTTAGAAGCTCGATTTGTACAAGACATTAATGAATACCCCTAGTAGGGCGATTCGGGTGATGCTTAGTGAGTTTGAACCACTGGATCGACCTTGTAGGGGTATTCGTTGCTTGTTGTACAAATCGAGCTTCTAAACCACAACAACATCTCCTGAAAGGGTGACTATGACCTTTTTTGTTGACTTGTAAGTGAGCTTGAACCATTGGACCGACCTTCATATGTCATTTGTGAAGAAATACTCTTACGAGAAGAGGAGAATAAGAGAAGAAGATATGCGAAATTAGGTTCGATGCAAACCCTAAATTTGAAATTCAATTATGCCACATAAGATCTAACAGGGCTTCCACATCACAATATTATCTTGTCATTTATTTGGTAATCTGCTAGATTGATAGTAACCAGTCATTTGGTTGACATTACAATAAAATTGTAAATGTAATGATATAATTAAGAAAAATAAAACATAGTGTCAAAATCGAAATTTTGGTAAACTTAGTGATTTTATTGCAATTTGGAAAAGTGGTTACTGAGATAATATGGAGAACCAATCATTTGGTTGATATTGCAACAAAATTGTAAGTATAGTGAATTGAGAGGAAAAAAATATGATGTCAAAATCGAAATTTTCGGTTAACTTAGGTGCTGTTTGTTTTTTCGAAGAGAAAATTCATGAAGTCTACGGACCACCTCTGCAATCCTCTGTAGCAGAAGAGGTGGAACAAACGGTTGCAACCTATAATAAGAAGCATGTTTGTTTTTTAACATCTGCAGACTGCTGCAGTAAAATGAAATTTAAATAAACTAATTTTATAAACTGAAAATAGTTCTCAACACCGAAATTTTAATAATTCTACTCTCAAAACATTGAAAGAATACTAAAAAGAACATGTAAAAAAACAAAAATATATAACTTTTAAAAAAAAAACTTAGAAAAATATAAAAGAAGCTAACAGGTTTATTTTAGAAAAAAAACTAATTTTAAAAAACATAAAAAAAGAAAATAATAAAAAAATTAAGAAAGTATTGCAAACAATATCTACAAAATTCGTAAAAAAATTACTCACGTTAAAAAAGATGCAACTGAAACTGAAAATATTATTAACAGAAACGGTAAAAAAAATTAAAAAAATCAAAGTTTTTTTTTTATTTTTTAAATCAAGTTAAAAAAGTTTGTGGAAACTATAAAAAGAAATTGTATCAAATCCGTAAATAAAAGTTTAAAAAAATCAAAAATTTTTTAAAAAAATTAAAAGTTAAAAAAAAATTAAAAGTTATACTAAAATTCTAAAAAAAACACTTGGAAAAAATGAAAGCTGAAGAGGTTTGAAGAGGCAAGTCAAGTGCTGCACCACGCAGCACATGCACAGAGGTTTTGTAGTCTGAAGTCTTCCAAAAAACAAATTGCTGTGAGAGGGAAAGTGTTGTGCGTGTGTTGCGCCACGTAGCAAAAAATGGTTTGAAGAGATTTAAAAAAAAAACAAGCAGCTTAGTGAATTTATTGTAATTTGTCTTTATCTAAAATATCCTATTCATCTGCACTTTCAAAGTTTCATTGACTCAGAAAATTTTAACCAAACGAAATTGTAATTTTCAATGATATCATATTGTTGTTTGAAGATGGATTAAATCCTATCATGTCGTAATTTACAAATGAGAATAGATAAAAGTCAGAAGTGAGCGATTGGGTTTGTTATTTGTAATCAATTCAATACCCTTAGGAGTGAGTCATTTTCTTCCAACCCACCGAACTTACTGTCACATCATTTTTTTCTTTTTTATTTTTCTTCATCTTTCCCAACCCACAACACACGGAAACCATATTTTTTTGAAACCACTCAACACATTCAATTAAAAAACATACAAAACAATCAAAGATAAAATCTTAATTAGCAATAGAGTTACCGCCGGTACCATTCCCGCTTCAACGGATTGTTTAATTGGTTTGACTAACACACTTCATTATCTCTCTCTACTTTCTCTCTCTCATTTTCTCTTATACCATGTGTTTAAAAACGTGTACCTTAGTTGTTTTGTATTTCTTTTAATTGAGTAGGTTGAATGAGTTGAGAAAGATAAGATTTTCGTGTGTTGTGGGTTGTGAAAGATGAAAGAAAAAAAATAGACACAAATTAATGTGACAGTGAGTTAAATGAGTTGGTAGAGAACGACTCATTCCTCCCTTATTGGGCTAAAAACGGATTAATTACACCCAACAAATCAAACGTGATGTCGTGATCTACAAATAATAATAGTCGTTATTGTCTCACAGAAAATGATTTGAACCCAATTTTCTCCCGTATATATATGAATTTTGTCCTTTGCACTTAATTGTTGAAAATACAAAAAATAATAAAATAATAATAATTAAGAAAATACCAAAATACACGCCGTCAGCGAGGGCCATTGTAGGTGTAAACAAACGTGTTCGACTTTTAACGCCGTGCAACTGTATATATACCTCCACCATTCGTCCCCCTTCACGCTTTCGTCTTCCTCTTCCTTTTCCTCTTCCTCCGTTCATCGTTATCTCCTCCCGCGTTCTATCTGTCTTCCATTATCGTCTCTCTCAATAACTACACACATATACATACTGATATTATTAATTCTTGGTGGGTGAATTGCATTTAGATTGGGGTTCTGAAGTTCAATCAGAAATGAAGATGTTTGTCTGACACCCATGGTAATTGAAGTTGTACTTATTTTGTTTTTTCTTTATAAAATTATTGTACTGAATCACTTTGTGAATTATTTGGGATCATGTTCATTTTTGGCAACCTTTTTTGCTACTGAAATTGAGATTAAGATCAACGATAAAAATCGATTTTTTTTCTTTTCCCAATTCGAATGGGTCGTGCTCAGAAATCTTAATGCTTAAGTTTTGAATAACTTTTACTTCATCTTCCGTATAGGTACGCGTATTCAATCGATTGATGCTTGTTTTTGTTTGTTGTATTTGCTTTTCTTCTATATTCTAACATTGAGATTCCACAATTTGATTGGAGATGTTATATGATTATGATAAACACATGAATATTTCGAAAGGGATCCCTCTATCTGAAATTTTGCACTTGTCTTACATTAGTGTTATGGAGTCCCAAAATTGGAACAACTGTTTATGAACTCGTTGAGAAGGGGTATTTCACTAATCATCCTTCTGATGCTAATTAACATCCCACTTATAAAATAATACATTAATTCTAGGTCATCTAGGTAGCTTATTAGTTATTACTTTCTTCTCATCGTCGATTCACCATTTTTAATTTTCAGGAAGAATTAGTTATTGAAAGCGTAAAGCTCTGATCGTATTTGTGAAAGCGCGAGAATACATTCAATTGTTGATAAAATATGTGCGAACCAGATTCAGATGTTGTGAAATGGGGACTCCACTTCCTCGATGTCGACCAAATATTCAGTTCCACTTATTACGGCGATAGCAATCAACACGACGTGAACATCTGTCATGAACAGTATAACAATGGAGGTAACAGTTATCAAGAGAATGATTTCAACAATGTCCAAAACGATGAAATGCTAGCTCACTCTCTTCAACAAGAGCTATTAGATCTCTCAATTTCAGATGGAAATGAATTATCCAATCCAGAAGAACATTTACAAACATCAAACGATACTCAAGAATGGTATACTCCATCACCAGATAATTACTATTATGGTAATCTTCTCTTCAAATTCCAATACCTAATCACCATTTTTTCACAACATTAGTTATAAAAAACTGTTTTGATTACAGGTGATGAATCTAGGGTACAGGAAACAGAGGAAATGGGACATTCAAGTTCTTGTTCAAGTCCTGGAAATAGGTCTTATGATGGTGATGAGTATTCATACAATTTAGAAATAACAGATGAATCTGAGCTTGATGGTGAAGTAGGCAAGAGATTGACTGAAATTGTCCCTGTTCCTGTAAGTCTGAAAACAAAAAAAAAAAAAAAAAAAAAAAACAAAGATTTAATATTTAATTATATTTTGAGTAATAACATCTGTTTTACTTTTATTATTACATGAATGCAGCATATCCCTAAAGTTAATGGAGACATACCTTCAGTTGATGAAGCTACTTCTGATCATCAAAGACTATTAGACAGGTGCTCATATTAATATATCATAAATCAAATTTGCTAAATTTGATTTTTATTAAAACTGTTATATTATTATATATCTTGTTTGCTTTCAGGTTGCAGTTATATAACTTGGTAGAGTCAAAAGTTCAAGGAGATGGTAACTGCCAGGTCAGCATTGATCAATCATTTTTAAAAACTTATAAAAAATTTGAAAATTCTTTTGTAATTTTTATAACCAATTTCTTGTACAGTTTCGGGCATTATCAGACCAATTTTATCGTTCACCAGAGCATCATAAATTTGTGAGAAGACAAGTGGTTAATCAGGTTAGTTTTGTTTTTAAAATAATAAATCATGTCTACTTTTTATTCAAATTTTATATTATTCAGTTTCTTAAGCTTCTAATTTTATAACATTTGAATATATGAAGCTTAAATCACATCCAGAGATGTATGAGGGATATGTCCCCATGGCATATAGTGACTACTTAAAAAGAATTTCCAAGTAAATACTTCTCATTTTTCTTTTTCTTTTTTTTTTCTTTCAATTTTTGATGAGATATATGTTTATATATTTATATGAGTATAGGAGTGGAGAATGGGGAGATCATGTCACCTTGCAAGCAGCAGCAGATTCTGTAAGTTAACCATCTTTTTTTATTCTTTTTTTTTAATTAAAATATGAAAATATATTTTTTTTCTTAACTTTTCTCATGTTTATATTGCTTTATGCAGTATGGGGTCAAAATTTTTGTTCTAACCTCATTTAAAGATACTTGTTCCATTGAGATTCTTCCAAAAGTTCAGAATTCAAAAAGGGGTAATGACAATGTTCAAATCTTTATATTTATAGTTATTAATTGTCTTTTGTTACTTTTATAACTAAAGTTATAACCTTTTTTATATATTGACTATATTGTAGTCATTTTCTTGAGCTTTTGGGCTGAGGTGCACTACAACTCAATCTACCCTGAAGGAGGTATGTATGCACTATTCAAAATCTTTTTATTAGCTTTTACTTATTTATTTATTTTGAATTGATGAAATAACATGTTTTTGTTTTTATTATTTTAAAGAATTGCCACCACCGGAATACAAAAAGAAGAAAAGGTGGTGGAACTTTAAACACAGGCATCAAGCGTATCTTGATTGAAAAGATTTGTGATGAGGGGTGGTTAATGGTTATTCTTGAAATCTATAGGAAATAAGTTGTCATTTTACATCATGTATAGTAATGTTTCTTGGTTCTTTAAAAGGTGATGATGCTGATATAAGCATGCATGCTTCTGTTTTCTTGAATTGGCATGGTTATTTATGGCATTGTGATGGATTGATGGAGCCTTGATTTTAGATTCACTCATTAATAAAGCTTACTTTGTAGCTAGATAGTTGTCAAAGAAAGATGGTTGTTTAGGAGTAAATGTGACTGATTAGCTGAATAAAATGGTCAATTCTATGGGAAATTTCTTTAAGGACAATGATTGCAATCTCCGTAATTTGTTGTTTATTGTCCATTTTGTATATTTGTTAAAGTTTCTTTGATAGTATTCCACTTCTAATATTGGAATTAAAACTTGATGACTTATAAATGGATTGTATGGGAATATTCATTTGCATGTTCAGTCAAGACACCATTACATTTGACTGAATGGACCGTATAAGTTTAATGTGATGGTGTGAAAAGATGAAGCTTATGCTCAAGGTCTTAATCGGTTATGATGTCTTGGAACCTCATTGGCAAGTGATTGTTGAAATCAATGAAGAAAACATTCACAAGAGGGCACACGATGATATAATGTGTCGTGGCTACATTCACACCACTATTAGAGACGGCTTATACAACTTCTATGCTCCCATGCAATCTGCAAAATAAATTTGGGACGCGATTGAGAACAAATACAATACATAGAAACAAGGTCCATATAAGTTCATTGTGTTCAATTTCTATGAATATACCATGAAAGATCAATGATCTATCGTTAATCAAATCAATGATTGTTGTTTTTAAGTTAAGGAATTGGATGTTGACATTCTTGATATCAAGTCATTGGATTGTTGTTTTTAGGTTAAGGAATTGGAAAAACAATTTTAAATAAAACCCAACAATTGCTTAAAATAAACCACTATATCAATTGTGGCCTTCTTAAATCCAAATCCTCGTCTATGATCTTCATTCACTACTCTCATCTGAATACATGCCAAAATATGCATGTTAGGAATTAGAATGTCAAGTAAGTAACATCGAGATTCATCAACTTTTAAGTCAAATGATTGGTACATTCCTTTAGCCAATGAGAATCCCCAAAAATCTTTTAAAGTCATTTAGAAACATTCATTAAGTCATTAAAAAACTCTTAAATCCTTAAATCCCAATCATATTTATTAATCATTTGTGTAATCATCATAAGGTCTTCATCGTTATTAATAATAGGTGTAATCATCATAATGTCTTAGCCATCAGACTTTAGTCATCACTATTAGACTCGAGGGAGTGGGAGGGAAGTTTCCCTCACTTTTTGTGGGTCATACCCTCCTTTCCCCCACTTTTCTTTCCCTCACCTAAAACCCAAAGATTTGGTGGAAAGAGCTTCCCTCACTATTTTTATTTTTTTTATATAAAATTAATTGATTTTTATGATTTATAATTTTTAGATTAAAAATAACCAAAAAATTTAACTAAAAAGAAAATGCATTTCATTAATTAAAATAAAAATTACAATAAACCTAAAATTTAGAAAACTAGAAAATTAAAAAAAAAAATCTAACTAAAAATCAAACAAACCAACAACGACCTACGGGAAATATTTTTTCAGAATTTTTTCCCTCTTCTTCATCACGAGCTTGAGAGTCGGTCCCGAGAGATGATCGGTGTTTTCCATCAAAAACTCCATATCCTCCATTTCTTGTCTCTCCGTCCGCTCCTTTTTCCTTGTTTCTTCTTTTTCTTTGTCGAAAGTCAAACGTTCGGAGAAATTAAAATTATATCGATCAAACGACGATGTTATTTTCCGCATTTCATCAACGTCCATGCTGAAATCAGATGCACCCGAAGAAGTCTCTTTTCCCTTTCTCTTCGCTTTGTCCCTACCCATTGGGCGGACAATTTCTTCTAGCTCGAGTTCGTCATCCTGATTTAAATCTAGACCGACCCGAGCATCGGAGGAGGTTGTGTAACCACTAGAGCCCGTTTTCGTTCGTTTTGATTGTTGGACTCCAAAAATAAAATCTTGCTCGTATTTTTTCCACTTAGGACATCAGACCAATAATTTTCAACAATCATGCCACTTGAATGGTTTTCCGACTTCCTCAAGGTAAAACTGCAAAGTTTCTTGAAGTATTTCTTCGTCGCCTTGGCCGCTTTTTCGTTGGGTTTTTAGGTTGTTGTACAACCTGTTTATTTTTGAAACCCCCTTTGCTATTTCTCGAAACTTCGAATTCAGTTGATGTTTCGTACGGTAGTCGTCACCTTTTTCTAGCTCCTCTCGAAACCGTTCTAAAATGCGAAACCAAAAATGTTTTCCTGGTTGTGCGTTTCCTTGAATCGAATCTTCAGAAATGTCAGCCCAAGCTTTGACCAAAACTAGCTCTTCGTGTGGAAGCCATGTTGTCAGCTTTTGTCTTCCCGGTTGTACGACACCCTCGCACACTTGTTTTTTCCCTTTACGTCTTTGTGGGGGTGGTGTTGGTTGAGTTTTGGGAACCATCTCTTCTTCTTCCGAGTCAGCCAACTCATCGACAAGTTGGTGTTGTTGTTGGGTTTGAGTTTGAGTTTGGGTTTGGGGTTGAGGTTGATTTGACGATTGTTGATCCGGAAACACAACAAAGTTTGAAAACATTTGCGGCGAAACATTTGGAACTTGGATGGGGTAATATTGTCCAACATTTTGGTATTGGAATTGTAGTGGAGATTGAATGAGAGCATCGAGTTGGGGGCGATAAACTCTTTGTGGTGATGAATCGATAGCAAAAATGTTACGAGAAGGGATGTTTAAACTCTAACCATGACTTTTTTTCCTTCGATCGGAAGTTGGGGTTTGATTGTCAGGATTCATTTTTTTGTGAGAAGAAAATAGAGAGAATAGAGGGTTTGTTTGAATGTTGTTTGATGGTAAATAGTTGTGTATTTATAGGTGTTTAAAAAGGTAAAAAAAAAAAAAAAAAAACAAAAAAAATGGTGTTAAATGCATTTAGCCGTTAGTAAAAAAAATTTTATTTTTTTTTACCGTTCTTCAACGGCTCATTCACACAAAAAAAAATGCTTTAGCCAATTAGAGACGGAGAGAGAACGCGGGAGAGGCTCCCCTCACCCGTTCCTGCGCCACCCTTCCCCGCACCGACGGTGCAGTGTTCCGTCTGGCGGGAAGCTTCCCGCGGGTCTTCCCCGCAACCATTCCGTCCAGCCTTAGCCATTTGAATAATTATCATAAGTATTTGAGTCATCATGGTAATTCATCAAGTCGTCATAATAAGTCATTATTCTTTCATTATTATATTATTATTTAAACATTTAAGGATTTCAAAAGTAATCACCATTTAAGTCATAATATGAATAAATGCAATGAAATGTGCTTTCAATCTATCCCAAGTCATCTCATGTTTAATACTTTACAGGTCCTTGAGTGAGAACTATCTCACATCGTCATTAAGGGAATGCCCAATTAAATAAGGCACTTGTGCCAAGCTTTACCCATAAAAAATGAACATATTCCAACATTATGCAAGCTCGCTGTTATACCTAGGATAATATGATCATTACACAAGATCCACATACAAGGTAGCTAGCTATTGTATGCAAGTGAGGCATGTATATGCAAGTGAGGCATGTATAGAACACCATCAGTAACACCTTGATCCATGTATTTTCCATTTCTACCCCTAAGTATTTGATTTGTTACAAAATTGGTCTCATTGTCCACTTAATGAAATCGCGTGACTTTTGTGTGTATGTTGGGTGTACTCTTTGGTACGCAGTGCGTAGGTGGCAAAAGTGCAAACACTAATTTTTAGGGTTTGAGCACTATTTAAGTATCATTAACTTCTCAAGACCTTTCCCTCATCAGCCTCCATCTCTCAATCTGTCCCTAACAAACCCTAATCCTTTATATGAGCCTTTTGAGTTTGAGAGTGCATTTTTTGTGTTCTTAAAGGAAGACAAAAGAAAGGAAATCATCTTGGAAGCTCAAAGGTAATGCGAGTAGTGGTCAAGAAAAATAACATAAGGGAGTTTAACATAAGTTTAACATGTTTGTCAGTTGACAAATGACATCAAAGGGAGTTTATATTTGTTAGCCCATGTTGTAACCACTAGTCTAGGCTCATTCGTATTCATGGGGGCGTTGAGGGGGTAAAGTGGGTAGCTGCACAGGACCCAATTTTTTTGATTATATATTTTTATTTAAAAGTAAAAACTTATAATAACGATAAGAGCCTTTTTTTTTCTAGTTCATCCTGGATTTTTGAGAATATTTAATTCTTTAAGACCGGCACCGGTGTTACTTGTGGTTATATATATATATATATATATATATATATAGATATATATATATATATATATATAATATATATATATATATTCTCTTGTGTATCTCATTTATCAATCAAGGAACTTCAGTACTCAATATAAACACATACATACAATGCAAGTATACTAACAAATCTTAGACTACATATATAACTTATATGTACATGTATATACATAAATATATCGTGTATTTATGTATCTTTTTTATTTTTATTTTTGAACGGCATCATAAATCTACACATACACATGTTAAAATAGATTTCCATTAACGATATATAGAAAATGACAAAAAAAAGTCTTTATTTTATCTTATTCATATAATTTTCTCAAGGATGGCATGACTTTAGTCAACATCTTATAGAAAATGACAAAAACATCTTTATTCCATCTTATTCATCTAATTTTCTCACCCCTCACCCATGCAAAAAAAATAAAAAGTTGTCTTTATCTGCCTATTGGATCGCATTTATCAGCCATAGTTATACGGCACCTGGGGGTAGCCGTAATTCACCGTCGTTGCTGATGGTTCGACCTCGGTAACCACCTGCTGCAGTTGTGCTTGCCGCATGATAATGTTAGGCGATACACTTTGAGGGATGTAGCCGGTGCTATTCATCATGACTGGGCCCGAGATCGGTGTTTGGTGGTGGTTTTTGGTAATGGATTCGCTAATGCTAGAGAAGCCGGCGGGAACAGTGCCGGTACCCGTAGCAGCTATGATGGCGTTTTCAGATTGCTGGAGAAGCCATCGTACGGTTTGTCCATGAGTTTTAAAGTGTAACTCGTTTGTGAGCTTGAATAATCTTGCGGCACAGGGTGCCGGCAACCTGATACGCAGCCCACGGTCGTCAATCTTCTTGTCTTTGAACTTCCGACTCCTTTTCCTGGTGGTGGTTTTTGTCGTTGTAGTCGGAGGTGATGGTTGTGGTGGTGTTTGGGCGGGTTGGACGGATGATGGTGCAACAAGACGATGAGAGTCGGTGGTGGAGAGTGGTGGTGTCGACGTTTTCGAAGGAGGAAAGAAGGTGGTTGTCGGCGGTGGTGCATACCTTTGTGAAGGAGCGAAGGTGGTGGTAATGATTGATGGTGGTGCTGATGGACGTAAGGGAGCAAAGAAAGTTGACATTTCTAATGGTGGTTGCGGCATCTGTAAAGGAGCAGAAAAGGTGGTTATGGTTGATTGTGGCGCTGGTGGAGGAGGTGGCGATATATGTGAAGGAGCAAAGAAAGTGGTTATGGCTGATGTTGGTGGTGTAAAGGGGCGGTTCGCGACGAAGGGTAGTGGTGATAATAACGAGGATGATGATAAAATCGGTGGTTGAAAGTTTGGAATTGGAGAGGATGGTTCCCATTGGAACGATGGATCGAAACGAGGTGAATCGTCCATTTTTATCCGAGAGAGAAAAAGTATAAGTTATGAACTCGGATGAAGTTTTTATAAATTTGTTTGGATGATTTTATCGATCGCACTAGTGATCTCAGGTACATTTTGTTTTTGTCATTTCGCATGCATGATGAAATCATGACTTGCAAACACATTACCTTTTTAAACTCTTAAGGCAGTATATGTATTAATTAATTAAAATTGAAATGAAATTGAAATTATGAGTTTTTATATTATAGTAGGGAAAAAAATTGGGAAAATACCGAAAATAGACAAACACATTACCTTTTTAAACTCTTAAGGCAGTATATGTATTAATTAATTAAAATTGAAATGAAATTGAAATTATGAGTTTTTATATTATAGTAGGGAAAAAAATTGGGAAAATACCGAAAATAGACAAAAAAATGGGGGTTAATTTCTAAATTTAGTCATAAAAAAAGGTTTTTCCGGATATAGATATACATTCCGCGGAGGACCCTCCGCGGACCTCCGCGGAACCATGAAATCTCCGCGTAGAGGGGGTAATTTCGTAATTTCAACCATATTTTTTGAGAAAAACGAAGGGGTCCTCTTTTGGTCCCCACTGGTCCCCATTCCTCTTCGTCACTCCGCATCGGGTCGCATTGGCTTTGATCGAAGACTTCAAATCCGGCGACGACTTCAACTCCGACGACGACTTCAACTTGAAACGACTTCAAATCCGGCGAAATCGAGTCGCAGAGCTCTTTTCGTCACCGATGGACCCCGAATTCCCCGATGTTATGGCCGACGGATACGGTTCCCGGGTATTTCTCACATTCTCATCTAATTATTAATGTCGAAATTGTCGAATATGATTCAAATTAGAGGAAAACCCATTTTGATTACATTGAATATGTATAAAGATTTAGGATTTCTAGGTTTAGAAATCACAGATACGTTTTTTGGGGATGATCCATTCCGCGGAGGGGGACGTCAGTCCGCAGAGGGTGCTCCGCGGAGTGATGGTTTTCTCCACGGAATGTTATAATCCAACAAACCATCAGTCCGCGGAGGCAAGAGGTCACTCCGCAGAGAGGCCTCCGCGGAATGACCTCTAGCCTCCGCGGAGCGATGGTTTTTGCACAATTTTTTATTTTTCTGCTTTTAAGTATGTTGCTATTTATTTCATAATGGAATAATATTTTTTTTTTTCAATTAGTAATGTTTTAAATGAAATAATATTTTTTTTTTTTTGTTGTGTAGCACGAAGATCTCAATCAAAAAGCGGATTTAACTTTGAAAGGCGTGGTGGGGACTATCATTAAAGACTATTTTCCGCGCCTAACACAATCACAACGAGTATTATTCGAAGCTTCCCCCTTTGGAATATTCTTAGGAATGCATATCCCACATGGTGATCCCTTACTTGTGCATATGATGATGTTGCACGAAGTAAGGTGTCAACAAATATTTGAAATGGGGAGGTTTATGTTTGATATAGAGGGGATCCAGTTGGGTTTTGGTGAAATTGAATATATTCTGATTTGTGGTTTAAAAGTTGGTCCTTATGTGGATTTACTCCATGACGAAAAGGGCCAGTCAAATTCAAATCTCCGTGCTCGGTTGTTCCCAGATATTTCTGATGCACGTTTGCGGCTGAAAGATTTAGAAGACTTGATTATGTCCCCGAATTATTTGGCACTACAAGATGAAGATGTTGTGATGCTTATCCAGCTTGTTTTTATGTTGAAGGGTCTACACGGACGGGACGTTAAAACGGGCATTCCTGCAGCAGTATACAAGCTTGCTGATAATATAGATGATTGGAACAGGTTTTACATTTAAAACAGGCATTCCCGCAGTAGTATGCAATGCACTAATTATAATAAATAAATTGAAAATTGTAGGTTTGCATGGGGTGCGTATTTGTGCAAATATACTTCGCGTATGATGCGTGGAATGTTTAAGAAAATAGAAGAATTTAGAGAATTCAAGCAGGCCAATCCCGAATCGAAGAAAGTACACAAGTATATCGTTCCTGGTTTTATGCTTCCGTTTAAGGTTACTTTCTAATGCATTTAATAGTTATGATTGTTTAGTTTTTTATACTATAAAAATTTGAACTTCGTTTTGTATTATATAATAAGTTTGTATCATGACTTTTATAGTATAATAGAACGATACTTACATTTTTTTTCATAGATATGGATTTTGGAGACGTTCCCAGAGGCAACCAAGTTTTATATATGCACGCCGACAGAATTGCCACGGATGAGGGTGTGGAGAAGTAAAACACCATTAAATTGGGTTCAATGTTGTCGAATAATGAACGTGACTGTGGTATGGTTTTTATATTAACAATCATTTATATTTACAAATTCCAATGTATTTTCATGTTAAACTAACAATCTGATTTTTGCAGCCTAACAACGAACCTATTAATGTCGTGGCAAACCCGGAGGAGCTGATGTTGCCGTTTTATGTTCGTTATGTCAATTAGACTCTTAACCCTGTAGAGTCTCCCCCACGGCAACATAGTCCTGTCCGAAATAGTCCACCTCATGTTGCCTCGCCTGCTCGAAGAAGGATGTACAAGTCCGAAATAGAAACATCTTCGACTGATTCTGCCACAAATGCTTCTTCCTCGCAACATCTTGAAACAAGTTATATGTCAAACGACACATCAAGATTGGTAAAGAAGAAGAAGACGAGCACAAAGGCATTAGTGAAGCGTCTACTAGGCGTTGTGGCTGACTTAAGTTCTAAAGTAGACCGTGTATTACAGAAAAAAGATGAACCAGACACAAATGTTGAACCAGACAGAGGGTTTCGAGTGGAGGAAGAGATGATAAATGAAGAGGAGGAAGAAAAATATTACCATGATACACATTTTGACTATGATGATATCGGTACTCATGGTTTGGAGGGGGAATTTGGGCCTACACCTACGCATGTTGACCCGTCATCGGACGTGGGTGAACATCACACAAAAGAAATGACTCCTATTGTTAGGCCGCAACGAAAGATGGGTGTTCCATGGTATCAGCGGACTCCGTTCACAGTGGTACAAAACTCATATTTTAAATTTGGTATATTTTTAAATATTACCGTATTGATAATTATTTAACATGTTAATTTTTTAGTTGCAATTCACACCAAAAGTGAAGAAAATCACCAAAGCAAAGAAAAAAAGTGGTGAAGAGTCCTGAAAAACCAAATGAAGACATTGTGAATGAAGAGAGTAATGATGTTTCAAATCATCTCCTGCTCGACAGTGTTGAAGCTGCCAGTACGTTGAGTTTTTGGAAAGACTGGAATACGATCTCTTCCAACCTAAACACTAAGCATAGGCTGCATATGCTCACATTGGATGTAGAGTTTTGGTCGAGGTTACTTGCAGTTACTGACGCTGGGTGGTTAATTTCTTCGGTAACATTCGTTAAATATAATTTTTAACTACATTTTTAGACGATAATTTATATAAAAAACTGTAACATTTTTATCTTAAAATGTACAGCATATTGCGATATGGAGTGCCTTGCTCATGGAAAGACAGCCGGCGAACGCAAGGTGGACGATATTCCCTCAAGAAATTAATTTGCAAAACGGAAAAACATATTTTCTTAGGAATATAGCAAATGGTGTCGGAGGCCATCCTAAATGGAAGGATGTGGATATGGTTAGTTAAGTTTATTAATTATTTATTTTATATAGGAAACGAATTAATGACTATTAAATTTGTTTTTGTTTGCAGGTTCTATTCCCCATAAACGTTCCTCATGCCCATTGGGTTTTGGCAGTGCTACATTTAGATATTTGGAAAGTACACATTTATGATTCAGCACGATCTATGAATTACTTCACAACGTACTTGACTGGTGGAGAATTCAAAAGTTTTGGGGATAGTATAATCGAAGAGCTAGATGCGATTGACTACCGGAAGGATTTCCCCGATGGACACAAAGACAACGCAGTTGTGGAGTTTATTGATATTGTAGACGCGCCACAACAAGAATATATTCTTAATAAAGGGCATTGTGGAGTATTCGTAAGCATGTATATGGAAATGATTGCTTCGGGGGTACCGGTGAAGAGTGATAAACAATGTAGAGATGCGGGATTTCTCTACAGAAATAGGATGACAAATATTATTTGAGATACTAAATAACTTGATGTGTGGAAGTTTGTATACATTATTATGAAATACTTTTTTTTAGTAGTTTTGTTTAATATAAACAACTTTTGTATCATATATTTTTTGAAACATAATTCACCAACATATATTACAAACATGTGAAATAACATAATAACATTACAGAAAACATTACAAATAAAAGATGAACGACTAACAAACATTACATAGAACATTACGAATAAAAGAGTCGTCTACATGAAAAAGGGTTTATTTCTAACCAGATTCCAAACGTCTGTATACTCGAACTCAGTTTCATCAAACTGGCACAGGTAATATCCGTTCACGTATTTAAGAAGTTTTTCATCATCAGCATCAGAGCATCGCATTTTCTCATAATTGTAGCATCGATTGTACCATGTGACTTTAGTCTTTAAATCCATCCATTTACTAACAATATCGGGTTTAGTCGTTCTTGTCCTTGTCCCACCTTATAGTTGAACAAAGCTACTAAGCGGGACCATTCATCACCAAGAAGGCAATTAAGGGGAGCCATTACCGGTAGACCCTCGTAAACGGTAATCCAATATCTTGTTAGGACCAACTCCTCTGTTGTCGTCCATGGAGATGTACCATTTGTTGGAGCAGACGCATTAGACAGATTAGCTGCATTTGAAGACGTTGGTACATTGGATGCCATTTTGTGAAATGATCCCTTACCTGTAATTCAGACGTATAGATACGTGCTTTACTATATATAAAAAGATAGGTAACGCGGATTGACAAGTCAGTAACGCGGACTGACCATTCGCTTTGCGGACTGACAAGTCAGTAGCGCGGACTGACCATTCGCTTTGCGGACTGACAAGTCAGTAACGCGGAATGACACGTCAGTAACGCGGAATGA